ACAAAACACACGATATTAGTATACGATTCACAGATTCTACCAAGCTCAATAATTCAATAAGCAGCAACATGAAAATGAAAACAGAAATCCAAGGTCAATGAAACTGCAGAGACTGTTTCAGGTCCCCCAGCTAATAACTGACCCCAGGTCAGTGTTCTGTGTGGCCCTAGCACACGTATTTGTTCTAAGGGAGAAAAAAATGCTTATGAGGAATTCTAGTAAAATTCAAGCATATTTGCCATCCACTTAAACAGCTGTTTCAAAAATAAGTTCTTCATTTCTAATTACTGATCTTAAGTTTTCTGTGCATTAAATCCTTCACTGAGTATCGAATCACATGTGGCAAATGCACAGAAATATCAGGGGAGTCACTGGTTCAGGATGAAGTGCCAAATGCCCCGCACAGGAACTCCTCAGGGTTGAACACATCTGGACATGGCTCAGCTGGGCAAGCACAGAAAGCCACACTGCCAGCACAGGGCCGTCAGGATGGTGGCCAGGGCCTGGCAGGAATCTCACATCAGGAGGAACAAATAGGCATGCCCCAAGTAGGGGGGACTTCAGATTAAAGCTGTTGACAGGAAGTACATGGTCGATGTTTTTGCTCAGAAAGCACCCTAATGAATAGCTTGAACCAAACAGTTATCAAACCTGCTGTCTTAGTCTATCTGGGCTGCTGTAACAAAATACCACAGACATGTGCCTTGTAAACAACATAAATTTATTGCTCATTGTTCTGGAGGCTGGAAATCTGATATAATGGTGCCAGGTATGGGTCTCTTCTTGGTCAGAGATGTTATGGTTACAACACCGGCAGATGGCAGTCAGCCTACAGCCTAACAAGCTCTATGAGGAAGCACCGGAAGTCAAACCTACCTACACCAGCAACATGTGTAAGTCTCCAAACTACATAAGAAAACAATTACAAGCCCTGGCCCGTTTTGCTCAGTGGTTAGAGCATCGGCGCACGGACCAAAGAGTCGAGGGTTTGATTCTGGCAAAGGGCATATACCTTGTTGCAGTTCGTCTCCAGCCCTGGTCCGGGTCGTGTGGGAGGCAACCAGTCAATGTGTCCCTGTCACGTTGATGTTTCTCTCTCTCCCTCCCTCTTACTCTATCTGAAGGTAAATAGAAAAATATCCTCAGGTGAGGATTAAAAAATAAATAAACCACCGCCCTGGCCGGTATGGCTCAGCGGTAAGAGCATCACCTGCGGACCAAGGAGTCATGGGTTCAATTCTGGCCAAGAGCACATGCTTCAGTTGCAATTTGTCTCCGGCCCCGGCTGGGGTTGTGTGGGTGGCAGCCAATCGATGTGTCTCTTTCACTTCGATGTTTCTCTCTCTCTCTCTTCCTCCAGCTCTATCTGCAGATTAATATAAAAATATCCTCCAGTGAGGATTAAAAATAATAATAATAAAAATAAATAAAAAATAAACCACCACAATTCAAGAATCCACAACAATTAGAGGATGAGGTTAAAGAGGAGACCAGAGAGTGTGTCATGAGCTCCAATCTGCTATGACCAACGGGGCCAGAGGTTTATTGGCAGATCAACAAAAGGTCAGGAATTCCATCATCATGAAGCTCAGTGGGGGAACCAAACACTCTGGCTCCATTCTGGCAGGAACCCTCGTTTGCCTCTTTGCAAAGACAAACCACCCGGTGAAGAGGCACTGCCAGACCTCCTGTGACCTGTGCTGAGCACCTCTGCCTCAAGACACACAGTGCACGCAGATTCTCTGTTTACACAAGGGAACTCCCCAGGAGCGCTCCCTCCTTGAAAAAAACCGAAGGGTCTAGCACTTCTCAACCATGTTTAACTCTTTTCGGCCAGAGGTTAAGACTTTCAAAAAGATCTGAATGGCGCTGCCTGACAAACTTGCACACCTCTTGCTAATACCAGGTGGCTTAGAGCCAAGAGAACCTAAATTAAATCCTCTACTTTGCACAATGTGTCATCTAGAGCTACTTTTAAATTGTATTTGACAGCCTCTCAGATTACTTATCTTGAATGCATAATTGCTGGCTCATTAATCTCTCCTGTTCTCCAGGCAAGCTCTTTGTGACAGAGTGCACAGCCGCCCCACCCACCCGCAGGCATCTATTATCACAGCTTCTCATTCCAGCGCCCAGTGCCACACAGGGCATTCTGCTCGGAACCACTCAACAGCGCGGAACCCCATAGACTTCGCCGGCTTCCAGTCCCAGGCAGTGGGCTCCTTTTCTTTGTTTGGAGAATTTTCATTACAATGAAAAACTTTTAAATGCAAAGCAGTGTGAGACATAGGAGAAGTATGAGCAAGCATCCCCAAGTCCCATTCCCAGGTATAACTCAGGATGTGTTTTTTTCCCAAATTTACTTAAGTATAGTTGACAAAAATGGTACAGATTCAAGATGTATAACCTGATGTTTTGATATATATAGTGACATAATCACCACAATCAAGCTAATGTATCTATCACCTCACACAGGTGAGAACACTTCAGATCTACCTGCCTCTTAGCAAATTTCAATATACAATACAGCACTGTTGCCTCTAGTCACCATGCTCTACCTCAGAACCTACTCATCCTGCCTAACTGGAAATTCGGACACCCTGACCAACACCTCCCCAGCCCCTGAACCCCAGGCCCTGGCAGCCACCTTCTACTCTCCGCTTCTATGAGTTTGACTCTTTTGACTCCACAATGAAGTGAGGTCACGCAGTGTATCTTTCTGCAGCGGATTTCACTTGGCTCTGTTTCTCCTCAGTGACTGTTTCACAGGTTTAAGGAAAGGGAAATTTCAAACCCCAACTTTCACCTCAAGGGCTGGAACCGGAAGATCTATCATGGAAGGTACCATGTTCTCACGAAATTCTAGTAAAGCAAACACACATCTTTTTTTGTTGTTGTTGTTAATCCTCACCAGAGGACATTTTTTTCTATTGCTTTTTTTTGAGAGAGTGGGGAGGGGGGAGAGAGGGAGGAAGGAAGAGAAGGGGAGGGAATGGAGAGGAACATCAATGTGAGAGACACATCATTGGTTGCCTCCCGCACACACCCTGACTGGGACCGGGGATTGAAACTGCAACCCAGGTACATGCCCTTGACCAGGAATAAAACCCAAAACCCTTTGGTGCAAGGGCCAATGCTCTAACCACTGAACTACACTGGCCAGGGCCAAACATGCATCATTTTAACAATGTTCTTTACCAATCAGATTGCTAAGAGAGTACAACTAACACACAGCTACCTACACCTTCTTTTCACTTTAACTGTTACTGAATTTAATTCAACAGGCAAAATCTGAGCCAATGATGATAAGGATAATGATGATGAGGATGTTTGATGATGTTTCATGTGACCTCGAATCCTTTAGTGGGCACATGATTCGGAGCTCACTCCCGATCTCCTGAGGCTCCATCTCACATAGGGCACACTGCATGGCCTTCTCTGGGGCTGGCGCGGGGCAGGCCATGCAGGAACACTGAGAAGGGCCCTGGGGAAGTCAGGACAATCTCAGGGGGTAGTACCCAAGATGTGTCCAGCCGAGAGTAATGCCCTGGCAATGTTGAAGTGTGTTGAGCAGAGAGAACACACAGAACATGGGGCTGGCATGTTTTCTACATCTTTACTTCCCCTGGTTCTGGCTGGTATTTATTTCTATTTCAACTTTTTAAGGATAAAATTTTTTCATCTTTTAAAATTTCATCTTTTTAGATTAAGGCAGACATAAAATAAATTTTCTGTTATAAAGAACAGCATAAATGAAAAAAATATGAATATATACATATGCATGTGAGGGTAACTAAGATTTCGTGTCCACTCTGCAACACAGGCGCCTGGCTACTGTGCGTGTGGGCAGAGTTTATCTGAGAAGGATAGCGGGGAACAGAACAGAGGTCAAAGCCGCAAACCAACTGGCCCATGGGGCCAGAGGCACAGTGCTTTCTAGACCCAATAAGAACATCAAGAATGCTAGAAAAGCACCAGGTTAAAAAATCAGATTAAGAGAGCTTTGGAGAGGAGCCAGCTGACAACACAAAGCTAGAACCAACAGATACCTTTTGTGTTTTTATCTAAATGTCCAACTTATAGCAAAGTAGCTGGTAGAGCCTTGGCCGTTGTGGCACAGCAGCTAGAGCGAAGGCCCTCGCAGCAAAGGGTTCCTGGTGAAGGGCACGTACCTGGGTTGCAGGTTCAGTCCCCAGCCCTGGTTGGGGGTGCATGGCAGGAGACAACCAATCGATGTGTCTCTCTCTCATCAATGTTTCTTTTTCTTTCTCTCCCCTACCACGTCCTCCTTTCCTTTCATTCTCTCTAAGAATCAATGGAAAAAATATCCTCGGTGAGGACTAACAAAAGACACAAAAGTAGTTGTTAGAATAACTCTCAGAAATATCCTCTCCCACTGTTCATCTGAGACAGTGACTGTCCCTGCTGTATCATGTACTGTGCCTAACCTAGCACTGTGCAAAGCCCTTTATAAAATGTAGCTCAATAACTCCTGGAGGCACAATCACCCCTTTACAGGGAGGGCACAAGGCCTAGAAGGCTGAGCAAGCTGCCAGTGTCCCCAGCAGGACAGCAATCATGCTGGGAGGTGAACTTGGGCCTGATCACAAACCCTGCCCACTGCGGACACTGCTCAATCTGGATGCTGGGACCTCCCAACACCTGGACTGTAAAACACATAAACGTCAGGGTGACACCCATCAAACATCTGAGCAATTCCACAATGAATTCCTCCTGCTATAGTAGGAAAAAGCCAGTGCCCCAAGAGTAGAAAAGATTCCTTCAGTCTGGTTTTGTTTTATTTTTAAGTTCATTACCATCATTATGCCTAGTTCCTCCTCTATCCCCCACACCAAATTTTATCCATCTTAATTATTCCACGACAGGGCACACAGAACACTAAACAACAGAAATTCAAGAAACATGTTTCTGTCCTGACTTCCTAAGATCTAAGCATCCAGTTCATCAGCAGAGGTTTGTTTAGTAATCCTACACATTACCTTGACATTTTCAAGAAGAGCATCATCTCTCCCCAAGCCAGGTCCTACAACCAGGGCATGCAGTCGGGGCAACCACTTTTCCACTTCACTCACGGCATCAGGGCTGTCACTAAATAAAGAAAAGAAGGGCAGAACGCTTTACTTAAGGTTCCATTTATTTGTTCATTAATGAAACTACAGATTTTTCCAGATTTTCCCAGTTTTTCTCCCCAGTGTCCTTTTCCTGTTCCAGGACCCCCTCCTGCACGTAGCCAGCAAGTCTCCTTAGTCTTCTCCAAAGAGACCAATTCCTCTTTTAACACACCAACATAGATGTCTAGCTTTCAACATTTAAATGCCTTCCAGGGCATTGTGCTAAGTGAAATAAGCCAGATAGAGAAAGACAAATATCGTATGATCTCTCTCTCTCTCTTTTTTAATCCTCAACTGAGGACAGTTTTGCATTTATCTTCAAAGAGAATAGGAGGGAGAGAGGGAGGAAGAGAGAAAGAGAAATACCGATATGAGAGAGACACATCGAGTGGTTGCCAACCACACGACCCCAGCTGGGGCCAGGGACAAGCTGCAACCAAGGCACGTGCCCTTAGCGGGGACCGAACCCAGGACTCTCTGGTCCACGGGTCGATGCTGTAACCACTGAGCCAAACTGACCAGGGCTCATATGAGCTCTTATATAAAATCTAAAAAACAAACAAAGAAAAAACGAGCTCATAAATACAGAGAACAGATGGGTAGTTACCAGAGGAGGGCACTCCTCTGGAGTTCATATATATGCTATAAAGATGAAACTCAAAAATATTATGCTAAGTGTAAAAAGGCAGACACAAAAGAACACACATTGTATTTCTCCATTCATATGAAATGTTCAGAAAAGGCAAATCTAGAGAGACAGAAAGATTAGGTTTCCTCAGGCTAGGGGTGGTCATGGGCAGGGGTTTTCTTTTTGGAGTGAAGTAAGTGTTCTAAAATTAGATTGTGGTGATAGTAATACTTTGGTAAATACACCAACACTCATTACACAATTAAAATGAGTAAATTTTATAGTAAGTTATATTTCCATAAAGCAGTTACACACATTAGGAATAGTTAGTTAATGAGAGCAATGGTGGAGAGAGACAATGGGCCATACATGAAATATTCAAGGAATGATCCAGGAATCTGACATAGCTGCCATGAGGAGCAATAGTGGGTATGAGTTCAAAGGAGTTGGAGGTTTCAGGAGTGAGAGAGGGGCAATGGTCTGGGAGGAGCAGGGAGGATGCACATCCCACCTCTAGACCCAGTGGTACATGAGGGTGCAGAGGAAAAGCCACCTCCACTTGACAGGCTTGAAGGGGAATAAGCCTGGAAATAAGCAGAGCAGGTAAAGGAGGGAGTGGCATGAGCAGGAAATAAATGAGAAAGTGCTCACTTACATGAAATGGCAAAGACAGGTCTGGCTGAACAGAGTACCAGTAAGGGATTGATATGAGAGATGCAGAAGCATATTCACTGTGATGAAACTCAAGCATCAGAACCTCTTACTTGCTGGGCCCCTTCTAAGGCCCTGGGAGGGGCCATAGCAATTTATTCAAGTGGTCCAGATGGTTTTGCAAAATCTGCAAAGGTAGGCAGAAAGAAGACTTGGGTTTCAGTAAAGCTGAATCAAAACAGAACTTCCTTCTCAGAAGAGTCAATAGTGCAGGATATAGAGCTATAAACATAACACTTTTTCTCCTTGTTTTAAAAAAAAGGCTCATGAAATAAAAATTGAAACATATTAGACTAAGACTTGACGGCTCATTTCAAAATTATCCAGGCCAGTCTGTTTCCATCACACAGGAATACAAGTAACAGTGTAGACCTTGCACTTACAGACTGTCCTCTACATCAGACACTGGGGAAGTCATCTAAAAGACTCATGTAACTGATCCCTTTAAAACATTCAGAGGGCAGTCTGGCAGTGTTGCTCAGTGGCAGAGCGCCGACCCATGCAACAAGAGGTCGCCAGTTCAATATCTGGTCAGGACACATGCCCAGGCTGTGGGCCCGATCCCCAGTGGGGGGCATACAGGAGGCAGCCAGTCGATGTTCTCTCTCATCAAATTTTCTATCTCTCCCTCTCCCTTCCTCTCTAAAATCAATAAAGAAAAAAAAATTTTTTGCCCTGGCTGGTTTGGCTCAGCAGTTAGCGCGTCGACCTGCAGTCCAGAAAGACCCAGGTTCAGTTCCCGCTAAGGGCACGTACCTTGGTTGCAGTTTGTCCCCAGCCCCGGTTGGGGTCGTGCGGGAGGCAGCCAGTCGATGGGACACGTCGATGTTTCTCTCTCTCTCCCCCTCCCACTCTACCTGAACAAAAATGGAAAAATGTCCTCGGGTGAGGATAAAAAAAAAAAGAAAAAAAAATTTTAAACATTAAGAGGGCCCTCCTTTAGACAAAACCTGACAGCTGCACAGAATTTTGTTGTTTTTTCACAATACCTGTTCATCATCTCATTTCTTAACCTCTTAGAACCCACTGTATAAGGCTTTCCCCCCATAAGCTGCTTGTCAAAGTCACCAATGACTCCATACTATGAGATCCAACCACCCATTCTTAGTCCTCATCACTGACTACAAGGACATAGGCCCTTCTAGAACAGTCTGCAAACAGTTCTTCATTCAACTTGAGGATACCCCTCCTGGGTTCTTTCAGCTCCCCACCCATCTGTTCCCAAACGGGTGCTCCCAAATGGGTATTTCCTGTCTACACGCACTCCTATGTGGTCTCATCTTTGTTTGTTGGCTTTATCCACATGTTAACAACTCCCAGATTTGCACCTTCCCTGACTGCCCCACTCCTATCTGATGCTTACCAGCCAAGCCTGCTTGGATGTCTAAAGGCAACCAAAAATATGTCCAAAACCCAACTCCTAACCATCAGCCCAACCCAAATCCTGCTCCACCAGTTTCCCAACCTCATTAAATGACAATTCGCTCAGCCCAAACCCTGAATGGCATTCATGACTGTCTTCTTTTCCTCGTATCCGATATCCTACCAGTCAGCAGAATCCTGGGGCTATACTTTCCAGAGGTACCCAGAACCTGCCCCATTGTCCAGTTTCTACCCCATCAAGTACCTATCACCAGGATCCTTATAACAGCTTTCTAGTGGGACTCCTGCTTCCACCCTGGACTCCAAAAGCTTATTTTCTTTCTTTTTCAAAAAAAATTTTTTTTAATATGTTTTTATTTATTTTTTAGAGAGAGAGGAAGGGAGAGATAGAAACATCGACATGAGAAACATCGATCGGCTGCTTCCTGCACGCCCCCTACTGGAGATCAAGCCAGCAACCTGGGCATGTGCTCTAACATGGCATAGAACGAGGACCTCCCAGTCCACGGGACGATGCTCAACCAGCCGGGCCACAAGCTTATTTTCAACACAGCAGCCAGATGTCTTTTGAAACATAAATGGTCCCTGTCCCTCCTCCGCTCAAATGGCTCCAGTAGCTTCCTCCTCAATTATGGGAAAGCCAAAAGCCTTACAATGACCCCCATAACCTGCAAAGCTTGACTCTGAACCTCTGGTCACTCCAACCCATCCCGAGTACCTGAGTGCTCCTCAACACACCTGCAGCTTGAGCTCTTGCACCAGCTATTCCTGTGTATGGAAGTGCCTCCCCTCACTCCTCATGTCTGCAGAACTCACTCCCTCACCTCTGAGCCTGTACTTGAATGCCCCTTGCTGTGCCACTGCCCAAGATCACCCTGTTACAAACTGCACACATGGCATACGCACCACATGTAGAGCCAGTACTGCATCCCCTTCCCTATTCCCATCTCCCCATGGTGCTTATCACCCTCTGACACACTATCATCTTGTTTGTCCATCTCCATAACTGTGTTACCCAATACAGTAGATACTAACCACACATGGCTTTTAAATTTATTGAAATTAAAGTAAAAACTCAGCTCCTGAGTCCTACTGGCCATTGAAAGTGCTCGGTAGCCATATGTGGTCAGCAGCCACAGTGTTGGACAGCACCAAGGGAAAACATTTTCATCATCAAAGGAAGTTCTAGGGCACTCCTGAGAGCAGGTGTTTTTGTCTGCTTGGTTTGATGCTGTCCCTGTGGTACCCAGGACAGGGCCTACACAGAAGAGCTGATGAATGATGAAGTTTTGTTACTGCTGATAGGCCCCTCATTCCCGCCATATGTGCACTGTCCACAGGCAGGCCCACAGACCTCTTCTGGGCCTAGGAACCTCCAGCCATTTCTGATAGACCACAGGGGCTAGCCCTGGGCATGTCACCCTGGTGTTCAGATCTTATCCCGTGCTGTCGCACATGACTGTTTGTCTTTTTCTGACCACTGACAATGGGCTCATTATAGTTTTCTCCTTTCTTCTGAAACAATCTACCTACCAACCCTCAGTACAGAAGTTACTTAACCGAGGCTCTTGGAGAGTTGGTGTAAAGATACCACATGACCAAGGAGCGCTGATGCAAGTAAAGCACCCCATGTGCAGCCCCACTCACAGAACCGGGTGAACAATCAGCTCCGGGCTGTATGACTTGATCACAGGTGCAGCCTCCCGGGTACAAAACACATGGGATAAATCTGCACCCTGAGAAATGAACACAAGAGGCTGACTTAATGTGGGACTCACTCAAAAGACACCCAAAGTGGTTTAGGCAAGAGCCACTTACCACAGGACATGTGGCGTTCAACCATTCAGATTACATAGCACCATTTGTAAAAGAAAAATACGTATCCAACTGCAGCAGTTAAACTACAGCGGGGAGGGTGAGGAGAGGGCATGACCTAAGAAAAGTCTTGGAAATAAAGGCAGACTTTTGCTGCTGCCTAAGAGGCACGTCAACCCAGACTAGCTCAGGCTGCCTCACCTATGAGGCTCACGGGAAGCAATCCAGTCATGCAGCTGAGAACATTTCACAGTAACTGTGCTGACTGGGTGGTTAGGACTTGACCACAAAAGGCACGAGCAACTGCCAAAGTCAAAAAATGTTAACTGCTTCCACTAGAACTGAAAGGCATCTCAGGATCATTTTGGTGAAGTACAATTCCAATAAAATTTTATTTTAGAAAAATGAGTTTCAAGTTATTTTATCACTGACCAGACAGGGTACATTTAAACATGTTTCTCTTACCCATAATAACCTGAAGATGTTATTGAGATTTCTACTGGAAAACTTTTGCATTAATCATATTTAAATAATCCAACTCTTCCTAATAAAGAAGATACAAGTAAACATACCACTTTCAGAGCTGAGATTGCTGCAAAATAAGGTGCTCCGGTGTACCTAAAAAGAAGATATTTACAGTCAAAAACTTCCGAGAATGAAGCAAGCACACCAGGTTTATCAACAAACCATAGAGATATCAAGCACCTAGCTCAGAGCCCAACCCTTAGTAGGTGCTCAGTAAATGTTCACTAAACATAGATCAGAATCAGAAAAGTCAGTCTTTCACTTGAGACCTTTGTACTAAGCCAGGAGAGGCAAATTCTGGATTCCTGTGACTGTGGTCTCCCTGTAATGGGTATGTTCAAACTGAAGGCTTGAGATGATGGTTTTATAGGTTCTTACATGTCTAACGTATCAAAGTGTTTATCAATAACATGTCAATAAAGTTGTGAAAGAATCTCCTAATATAAAATAGTTCAGCATATAATAAGGTTGCCAGATTTCTATTAACCAAAATAAAAAAGATAAAAATAGCATTTTTCTAGGAATAATAAATTAGAAACTATGATAGCATCTACAATATTGGAAAAAACCATAAAGCATCTAGGAATTAAGTTTATAAAAACATATAATAATCCTGTGGGGAAATTTTTTAAACCTATTAAAGGATATATTAGATGAACACTATCTGAGATGACAATATTATAATGATGACACTTCTCTCTAGATTGATACATAGATATAAAAATGATTTGATTTATCACAAATGTACACAGGTACAAATAAAAGAAAATGCAATGGGATCTGAACAAAACTGGGGCTTTGTTAGCAAGGAAGATGGGTAGGAATGTAATATTAGGGGAAAAAACAAACCCCAAAAACTGAAGGTTTAAGGAGACAACAAGAGTTTACTGAAGGTGTCTGCCAGGTGAGAATGTGCCTGAGGTGATCACAGGCCAGAGCACCCCGCACTAGACAGTACCTGAGGAGCAGGACATCACTCAGAGCAACAGGCAATGGTTATCTTAATGTAGGATCACATGGGAGCACCCAGGCCAAACAAGACAAGACTCTCATGGCTCCCTCTGGCTTCCATCCTATAGTTCTGGAAAGCTTATAACTCCACTTTGAAGTTCACTTCAAGCACAGAAAGAAAAACCCTTGAACTCAGCATCAGATAGTGTCTGTAATTTTTATGTCAATTCCAAGCAGTGAAAAGTTTTGCTATCCCAGGAAAAACAAACTGGGGAAAAAACAGAATGAACTCTACATATGCGACACTCTCCAGCAGAGCAGGGCCAACTTGCCACACACACACACTCACCCCACAACATGAACACAAGCTTCACTACCAAAATAAATACATTAAGACAACAACAAAAATAGCTTGCCTACTCAAGAGCAAAGGCTGCCAATACCCACAAGGGTGTGAGGGGAACAGGGGCTTGTTGATGGCAGCCAAACTAGTGCAATTTGGGGGGGATGAACAATTTGCAATGTTTATCAACATTTAAAATGTTGGGGGGGGATCAGGAGGAGGGTATCAATGGGGGAAAAAAGGAGAAACATCTGTAATAAAAATAAGTGAATAAAAAAAAGAAAAAAAAATTGTCTATGTACTCTGCTCTAGTTAAAATTCTTCTAGAAATTAATCCCTTGATTATAACCAGACAGGTACACAAGGAGATAAATGTGATGAAATGTCTAGAGATATATTAGTTGAAAAAAAGAATAGAGTTAACCAATTGCCTATCAACAGGGACTTGGTTAAATAAATAATGGCCCATATGTACAATGAATACCATATAGTCACTTACACACTTATAACGAACCAGTCTACTTGAATCAACATGGAAACACAAAGTAAAATAAAGAGTAAACATAATAAAAAAAAAAAAGGCACATTGGGTAGACTCTACATGTTAATAGGTTTATTTCCCTTATTAAAAGAGTAGTCACGGTCATATTGGGTAAAGAAACAAAATCTAGCTCTGGCAGGTTTGGCTCAGCAGTCAGAGCATCGGCCCACGGACCAGAGAGTCCTGGGTCTGGTTCCCACTAAGGGCACATGCCTCGGTTGCAGCTTGTCCCAGCCTGGTTGGGGTCGTGTGGGTGGCAACCACTCTCTCATATCGATGTTTCTTTCTCTCTCTTCCTCCCTCTCTCCCTCTATCTGAAGATAAAGGCAAAAAAAAAAAAAAAATTTCCTCGGGTGAGGATTAAAAAAAAAAAAAGACAGTCTAGTTACATACTACTTACAATAAGTATACTGAACTACATAATAAACCATTAAAAATACAGGGCTAGGCAAAGAGCACACAAATGTAAGCAGAATCAGAAATACTAACCAACATCAAATTAAGGTCAAAGGCACTAAGTAGATCACTTACAAGCCTGGACAAATTACAAATCTTTATGTTTCAAACAACAGAACAGCAAAATATATAAAACTAGAAGAGAGAACAAACCTTTTAAAAAGCTAGGATCACCCTGGCCGGTTTGGCTCAGCAGTTGGAGCATTGGCCTGTGGACCAGAGAGTACCGGGTTTGGTTCCCACTAGGTGCACACGCCAAAAAAAAAAAAAAAAGCTAGGATCGCCCCGGCCAGAGTGGCACAGTGGTTACAGTGTTGGCCCAGACTGAAGGGTCATGGGTTTGATTCTTGGTAAGGGCACGTACCTGGGCTGCAGACTGGATCCCCGGCCCCAGTTGGTGCAAGTGTAGGAGGCAACGAGTCGATGTGTCTCTCTCACATTGATGTTTTTCTCTGTCTCTCCCGCCTACCCGTCTCCCTTCCACTCTCTCTAAAAATCAATGGAAAAATATCCTTGGGTAAGGATTAACAACAACAAAATAATAATAATAATAATAATAATAAATATTTTAAAGAGCTAGGATCTGTCAAATTTCATAAATGACCTCCAGGAATATCTTTATATTAACAAAGTAAACCAAAAAGATGCTGAGTGTTTTTATGTTGATTTCAAAAGTAATATATGCTTATGGTATGAGTCTAATCAATAGGGAAAAGTATAAGATACAAAAAAATAGTCTCATCTCCCAAGTATAGGCAAAATCTTTACACTAACACAAACCAGTGAACAGCTCGATCAGGGTCCCTTAGAGTTTTCTCCTATTCAATCTTAGAGTTAATCACTGAAAAATACCAAGTATCATAATATCAGACTACATTTGGAAATGATTACTGGAAGTCCAACTAGGCAGATGGACAGTTGAACGGATGGCTAACAGATAGGTAGACAACTAGATAACAGAGATTAACTGTTTAAATACAAACATTTTCCAAGTCACTTACTCTTGGCAGCCTCCAACTATGCCTATTCTTCCATCTTGCCCTTTGTGCTTCTTGGTAGTTAGAGGAGGTACAATATTTCTCACCAATTGAAAAGTATTTTCCATATCCTTTATCGAATGTTCTTTATGCAGTGAAAATGCTCTTTTTAAAACTGAAAAACAGGAAAATGAAAGTTCTCAGCATGGTAAGTATCTATTGGTACATATAAAGAACAGAGAGTTAAACAAAATAGCCCTTTAACCAAAATACTTCCCCAAATTTACTCAATATGAATGCTACAGATTTTTACCCAATGGTTTCATTATTTTACACACATTTCATTTCAATCTTCCTTTAAGTTTACTACATCTTTTCTCTCAAATTGGAAAAGCAATCTCCCATTTGTTACCTTCCACTGTCATATTCAAGTCTAACAGATTCATATAATTCTCCATTTAATTTCCCAGTCATATTTCCAACCCGCAATTAGATACTAATTAAATGATCTATGAATGGCATTCTAAATATAGAACATGTCTTACACTGGGTTCAAAGGCATTTTGAATTGTCTCTAAATAGCTAATTTCAATAGGCCTTTCTTGAAAATAAAGCACTCAGTATTTTTATCCTTCCAGTTACCTCAGCAGCTGAGAAAAACTAGATATGGGTCACAAGTTCAAGTGATCAGAAGCAGGCTCAGCTCCACAAGGTCAAACAGCTTTGCCTTTATTAACACTCTTAGAGTTTTACTTTTTTTTTTTTATCCTCACCCGAGGACATTTTTTGATATTTTGTTCAGATAAAGTGGGAGGAAAAGAGAGAAACACTGGCGTGAAAGGGACACATTGAGTGGTTGCCACCCACAAGACCCAACGAGGGCCGGGGACAAACTGCAACCGAGGTACGTGCCCTTAGCGGGAACCAAACCTGGGTCTCTCCAGACTGCAGGCCAAACCGACCAGGGCAGAGTTTTACTTTTTAGTCAATAAAATTATTCTAATAATATCCTTTGATGAGTAGATATAAATGTCTCAGTTGGTATATCAGATGTTGTGATCCAAATACGTAAAGAGAATATTAATTACTGTCAACCCAAACATCTTTCACCTTCCAAACCAACATAGGATTAAAACTTAAAACAGAGCCCTGGCCAGTTTGGCTCAGTGGTTAGAGCGTCGGCCCGCAGACCAGAGAGACCTGGATTCGGTTCCCGCTAAGCACCTACCTCGGTTGCTGTTTGTCCCTAGCCCTGGCTGGGGTCGTGTGGGTGGCAGCCACTCATGTGTCTCTCTCACACGGATTTTCTTTTTCTCTCTCTTCTTCCCTCTCTCCCTCCCACTCTAACTGAAGATAAATGCAAAAAAAAAAATGTCCTTGGGTGAGGATAAAAAAAACCAGAATCACTGTAAACCTTTGGCCAAGAAAGGGCACAACTAGGCTCAGGCAAGAATCAGTACAACTGGCTGATCCTCTGCTCCCAATGTCTTTCCTCATGAGCCACATTCGGTTCCAGTGAGATGACCTAAGTACTGCTTCCCATCCTGACTCAGAGCCAGCTGGCAGAGGTGCTGAGCAGAGCAGAGCAACCCCTCTCACCCCCCACCCTACTGAAATGTTCAACTTCTCAAATACCCATCCACACTCTGAATTCCCAGACTGTACAGTCTTTGCCATGCAGTTACTGTGAAATGCTCTTTCCTGGTGCATGAAAGGAGCTAGAGCTGTTATAATCAGATTTAATGATGGCATCACTAACTGCTGATGAGCAATCTATGCAATCATGAAAATGCTTGCCATGCATTTGTATCAAACTTGAACAGATGTAGCTTAACAATAGGACTTGTTAATACAAGAATACCAGAGAATGGTTGCTCTTTCAAATTCCCCAGAACAATAAATACAGCTGCTTAAAAAAAAAAAAAGTCTAGAAATTGTAAACATAAAATCCAAACTTACCAAGTCACTCAAGGGTTGTTCTAGGTTTCCTATGTTTTGAGTTTATTGGATACCATCACCATCACCATCACTTTATACTAAGCATTTAACCCCACATAACATATCCCTAAGACCACCCCACCACCTTTTGTCTACACAGAATGTGGTACAGCTCCCATCTGTGGCTTAAAGGGTCTATGTGTTTCCACGTTGAAACCCCCACCCTCAAATGCCTCAAACAGAGTCTGGCACAGAGTAAGACACTCAATATATGTCTGATGAATTAAAGGCTTCTTGATTCACTCTCATCGGTAGTAAGTTTATCCTTTTACAAAAGGAAACTGAGGCCCAGAGTGACAGACCTGTGAAGATGCCTCTGTTAGTAATGGATAAACTACACCAGAAGACACCATTTTACCAAAATGCTGCCATTTTAAGGCAAAATAAATCATTTTTCTTTAACCAAATATTTGCCCCACCAAACAAAAGACAGGTCAAATCCTTCTCAAATGCCTTCTGATACCATCTGGGAGGGGGGAAAAAATCACTGTTGAAAAGTACACCATTTTCACTTTTCAACTGGAACTGTATGAATGCAAAGTAAAATCCATACTGTTCACCAATGTTCTGTCCCACTCACCTGAAATGAGTACCAAATGAGTCAATTAAATTTCCCTAAACTTCACAGTGAATATCAGTTTTAGCTGGTTTACTGACATACATCATTTGGAATTATCCACAGAAATATTTAAATATAAACATCAAAGTTCTGAAGGATAAAAAGGCCTTGACAAGAGGTGACTTAAAATGTATCCTATTAAGTACCTTTGTTTTCGTAACAATTCTGAGTCTGGAAGAACAGGTAAAACCAGCCTTTTGTTTGTTTGTTTATTTTTTCTTTATTGATTTTAGAGAGAGAGAAAGTGAGAGAGAGAGAGAGAGAAACATTGATCAGAGAGAACATCCACTGGCCGCCTCCTGCATGCCCCCCACTGGGGATTTGCCCACAACCTGGGCATGAGCCCTGACCGGGAATTGAACCGGGACCTCTTGATGCATGGGTCGACGCTCAACCACTGAGCTACACTGGCCGGACTGGTTTTCGTTTTAAAGAAGTGTGGCCAGCCCAGCCGGTGTGGCTCAGTGGACTGAGGTCATCCCATGGACCGAGAGATCCTGGTTTGATTCCCGGTCAGGGCACATGCCCAGGTTGCCGGCTCTATCCCCAGTGTGGGGTGTGCAGGAGGCAGCAGACCAATGTTTCTCTCTCACATCAATGTTTCTGTCTCTCTCTCCCTCTCTCTCCGAAAAAAAATCAATAAAACATATAAAACAAAAAGTGTGGCTGAGGAAGTCTGGAGAATCACAAAGATTTCTCAAGCTTGCGCTGTTTTCTAGAACTACCTGCCACTTTGCAACTTTCTGTGATACCGATGTTTTTTTGTGCCAAAAGTGCTTTAAATTAATCGGAACCATAACTAACTTGGAGCACAAGAGAGCAGCAATGAAGTCAACGGAGATGCGCCTTAAAGCTAGGATAGGAATTCAGGGAGCTACACCTGCTTTTTGGTCAAGTTCAGCAAGTCAGCCTAATAACGAAACTTCCGACAAATTCAAAGAGAAATCTTGCGAACTAATCACCGTGCGTGAATCGAAGACAAACAGCTACCAATAACAACTCTCAATAAACTGGTGCCCAGAAGCCCCTCTGCTGCTGGTGTGATTGAGGTGCCTCAGCGGAGGAACCCTCAATTCTCCTCGAAGCATCGGGACCTATCTTGCCTAAAAACATAAAGCCAAACTCCTTAACAACTACTCGGCAAGTCCGGCCTGAGCTCGGCTGTCCTGAAAGCTCCAGCCAGCGCGGTCCCCGGGCCCCGCCCCCGCCCCGGGACGCCGGCGCCGCGCACAGGCCGGGCGCACCACGCCGCTCCTCGCGGACCGCCGGCCCCACTCAGCGCCTCCCGTCCGGACTAGCGGCGCGCGGCCGGGTACCTGCGTCCAGCGACGGCCCGTACAGCGCTAGCGCGGCCGAGAGCAGCGTGACGAGGGCCGCGCCGGTAACCGCAGCCCCGACCCCCGCCGGAGTGGCCATGGCCAGGAAGGACCGTGTTGATCTTACCTCGCCGGCAGGCCCGAGGCGCAAGCCAGCCGAGACGCACAGCCATGGAAGAACTTCCGGGCTTCCGTCCGCCCCCGCACCACCGCGGGAGCCACCACCCGGCGGACTTCCGGGATCCGGCCGCCTCCGGAAGCCGGCTCCCAACTCTCCGTGGTCTGGGATTTGGCCTCGCATCCCGCGTGGTCCGCTGCCGTTTTGCTGGAGGGTCGATTCCGGAATCAAGATGCGTTTTAATGGTTTAGGGCTTGAGATGTTTTTATTGGTCCTTTTTTTTTGGACAAGGGGCGTTCGTTATAGAAGATGATTGAGGCAGAAAGCTGCCCAATTGACAGGCTGTGCGTTTTCCTTTCAGCTACATAACTTACAGGGTGTGCAGAAAGTTAGCTCCAATGGAAAAATTTCTTTTTCTCTATTGTATGCACAGTATTCTGAACATGACACATGGTAGGTGTTCACTCTTTCTTTATTGAGCATATAGTTTACAAGACAACAAAATTCACTAGTTTTAAGCATACAATTATGTGTTTTAACAAATATGTATAATCATGTAATCACCACCACAATCTTGATTTAGAACATTTCTATCAGTACACCAAATCATGCTTTTGATGCTGTTACATTATTTTTTAATTGTTTATTGCTTATATGTGGAACTACAATTGATTTCTATATATTGACATTGTATTCTTTGACCTTGCTAAATTCATTTATTAGTTCCAGCAAGATATTTTTTTTTTTTATCCTCACCCGAGGATACCTTTCCATTTTTTGTACAGATAGAGTGGGAGGGAGAGAGAGGAAGAAACAGAGAGAGAGAAACATCGACGTGAAGGGACACATGGAGTGGCTGCCACCGCACGGACAAACTGCAACCGAAGTACGTGCCCTTAGCGGGAACCGAACCCAGGTCTCTCCGGACCGCAGGCCGATGCTCTAACCGCTGAGCCAAACCGGCCCAGCAAGATATTTTTTAAATTACTTGAGATCTTCTATATAAACAATGTCAGTTTGTCCCATTTTTTGGTGACAATAACTTGAACTTCAATCATTTGGTAAGGTGATATCCACCAGATTGTTTATTACCATTATGAACTCCTGAATTTTTATTTTATTCAGTAAATATTTATGAATTTTTTACTTATTCAGATTTATTTATTAGTCACTAGGTTATTTACTCATTAATAATATTAATTCATTTTAATATTGTTTTATTTATATATTTAATTGAATTATATATCACACTGCCTTTTTTATATTTTAAATGAACCATGTTGAAATATTTACATTTCAGTGGGTCATCTGGGGCCCCCAGCTTTAGAGCCATCATCTGATATTGTGAGTCTGCCTTCCTACAGAATGCAGAACATGATTTCCTTCTTGTGTGCCCCTCCCTTAGATTTTGGGGAGGAGGGAAGATATGCATAAGCTAAGAAAAGCTGTACAAACCACTTAAACTCTGAATCTTCCTTACTCAGCTATGAAGTTGGGAAGCATGAGAGTTGGCACTGCCCACCTGGTAGCATTGTGGTGTATTAATACGATTTGTTGTCCAAAGCCAAAACGATGGAGGAAAAGAGTACCAGTTCAAAATAGATGCACTTATTTAGTTTCTTTTACATCACCTCTTAAATAAGACACGTTGGCCCATCTCTCTGGCCATGTTGAGAGGTGACTGTGATAAAAAATGGGCCACATACTAAACCTAACAAACTCAGGGGAGGCCTGTATTGGCAGGCCTTACAAACTCAGAGATCTAAAGTAGCCATATAGGATGGTCTAAAATTAAAACTCCCTAACTAAAATTGAGTCATGACCTAGGCTGGTATCTTCCTTGACAAGGGTCAGTCTTTACTTTAAACTGAATCTGTTGTCTTTTTGCATCTAAGATAACAACCTTTGGAATGTCAGAGTAATCCCCTTTTCCAGACCCCTCAGGGCACAATCTCCCACCAGAGGGTAAGACCACAGAACCCCCTCTTTATTATCTTGTCCAAATACCATCTCTACATACTTAAATGTTATTTGTTAACTATCCTATACCCATCAATGTAAAACTATGGCTCTCCATTTTATTCTTTATCCAATCTCAGAGATTTCCTTGCTGTGCTTTCTCCCATCTCCCTGCAATCCCCTTATGTCTCCTCCTTTGATTGTAATGTATAAAATTAGCTACAAAACTGCCATTCTCCAAAGCATTTTCTCAACCCATTGAGATTTTGCTTTCCAGCAATTGTCATCCAGTTTGGCTCAAATAAAATCATAAAAATTTCTGTGGGTTTAGACATTTCTTATGTGGACATGACCTTTACCACCTTTCCACACTGTCCTCCCTGGTGCTATTGGCCTGCACGCTACTGTTCTCATCAAACCAGTCTAAGAACTAGATCCAAAAAAAGTCTATTGGAACCCAGATATTTTTCTGTTCAGAAGGTGAACTAGCACATTGGATTATGTTATAGAAGACCTGTGAATATGTTTGTTAGTATTTACCCACAAAATCTGAAAAGTAATTAAAGTTGGAATAATCTATATTTTTTCAGTTAAACTTGAAGGGACTAGAAGTGACAACACTGACAACTAATCTGTACCCCTACTAATTTAAGTAGTTCAGTGGGGGCAACTGCTTATCATGCCCATTGGTAACGGTTCTTCATTTTGAGAACTGTTCTTTGTGACATCTTCCCTATTATTTTTAGCTTTGCTTTAAAGAGGAATATGATTAAAGGAAATAGCCAGAGGAAAAATAAAATTTAATTCCAGGATTAGTAAATTTTTATTTTCAGCCTTCAGGAAAAATCAGGTAGGCTCAGGTAGATTTAGTTTCTCTGGGAGCTTATTTGAAATGCAGAAGCACGAAGGTACCTATCATGCATAAAATTCATGATTACTATGATTCAGCATTTTTATTAAAAACACAAATGAAAATAATCAATTAAAATGTTGATGCTGTTATCAATCTGCTTGGCTATGAGTAAAACACTTGTCTTTTCAATCAGCTGTTGCAGAGTCAGCAGGAGGGTTGCAGTGGTGGCTCCAGGAAAGGCCACTCATGAAGGTTGAACTCCACCCTGTAATTTCACCACAACCTCTTTTCATGTTAGTTTGATGGGACCAGGGTACGAAATCTTGATCAAGATCTCAAATGATTACAGCACTTCTCATATTTGTCATATTTGCAGATGGTGATGTGTTGTGTATTCACTTACTCCCACATAAAATTCAACAGCATATTTTCCCATCCTTTCCTCCTGCGTTTGCTAAAAGAAGCCACATAGACCTGAATCTAACATCATGGAATTCACCTATTGATCCCTATCATGGAAGATAAGCTGAGAGGAAGTAAAACATCTAGCTGTGTGTGTGTGTGTGTGTGTGATTGAATGTGTGTACACTTGCATTCCTGATTATGTATCAACCACCAATAAATGAAATGATAGGCTCTTCTTGATAGCTCTAATCTCAAATACTTTAGAAGGCCCACATTTTCAATAATAATAATAATAATAATAATAATAATAATAATAAAACCTCTTATATAATCATAGCATGAAGGAATAAACACTAGGTTGAATCTAGATCTAAAAATTCGAATTCCCCAGCAATAGCTTTGAGAATGTGGAAGAAGCACCTAAACAGTTTTAGTATAGGTTTTTCACCACCAAAACCAAAAATATTTGCATTAGGTAACTTGCATGTTTCTTTCAGCTCTGGAAATATGTTTTTGATCTAGTAAATACATTTGCTTATATTTTACCTTTAAAGTTTGCGACTCACATCTTAAAGTCCTCTAAGAAGAACAATAATGTGTTTGGCAGTTGTCAACGATCTAGGATTTATATAGAGTGGGTTCCAAATTATACTAAAACAAATACCTCCCTTATATATTTTTTAAATTAAAAGTTTTTCTCCAAAATAAAATTAGAGAACCACCCTGGAAAGGTGGCCAAGTGATGTCACCTAATTGGAAGCCTTGGTGACTTCATTCCATGAATATCCACTGTACCTACAACACACAGGCTCCATCAAACTCAGGAGTTCAGCCTCTTGGCTAGATTAGTCCCTATTTCTGTTATTCATGGTAGATTGTGTGAGAGAGGAAACAAATCTTTCCTCTCCCCTCTTAGGGCAGGGTCTGTGAATTAGACTGACAAAAGACAGATTAATAAGTTATACAAAAATACAAGAAAAAGTATACAAATTATATTTGTCAATATTTTAATTATTTTTTCATAAATGGAGGACTTCATAGAAAATAAATGAAGACCCAAAGAAGCAGTCCAATTGGAATATTGGGGGCTCATGTACCATTTCAACAAAAGGCAATAAATTGTGGAGAAGTGAGAAGACAAAGGTAATGAGATTTTGGATTCTTGGGGTGGTAAACAGTGGGAAGGTAAATATATGGGGAAACTAATGGAAGCTAAGGGCTATTCAGAAAGATGTAATTTATGCAGATCTGTCTTGGCATCATCTCTGTCTCTGGTGATAAAGACTGTCCTTCCTTTCTTGGTATGAGAGGGGAACACCATAAGGGAAATATATTTCCTGCTTTTAAAGAGGGGAAGGACAGAGAGCTATTCCTGTGTCTGCTGTTTCTTAATTGCTTTCAGCACAAAATAATCTTTATGCCAAATGACATATTTTGGGATGGCATATTTTGATCCCCTTCAGTTGTGTATGAGATGAAGAAACTGAGACTTCTATAGTGCTGTCTACTAGAACTTTCTGTGATGATGGAAACGTTCTCTATCTGTGCTGTCTGATATGGTGTCTCTAGCCACATGTGTCTATTGAGTATATGAAATGTGGTTAGTACAACTGAGGGCCTGAATCTTACATTTTATTTAACGTAAATTTAAATAGGCATCTGTGGCTAGTGTCTACCATACTAGACAGTAGGGCTCTAGAATATTAGGAATCTAAACACACGGAAAATATTAGGTTCGCTTTGAATAAGAGAAATTTTACAATATGCTGTATCATGCGCTTTGCCCAATACTCCAAGTCACCTTTCATTCTAGGATGTTGCTTTTTAGTTTAATATTTAACTGG